CCTTATTTCAATAGTTAATAGTGATCATGCCTCCAAAAGCTTCAAAAACCCTCTAAATGTATCATTAAAGTAGTCCAAGACTCAAAGACTTGGCCATATGTTGTTATTTACTAAAAATTGCAGTTCATTGGTGCTCGGTTATGCAGCCAGGTTGTTTTGAGCCAATCAAATAAGGCAAAAATGCCATGTGACAGAATATTTCATTGCTGCTGACAGTGTTGATTGGCCGATGGCACCAGAAGGGATGTAAAAGGCAGGAAAATCCATTTATGTCATCTGCTATACAACATAATGTAGATTATGTCTATGCTCACATAATTCATGAGGATAAAATCAAAAATCAGCACTAATTTGGGCACGCTTTTATAGGATGTCTTCTTTCAGTTCCAACTTCATCCCATCAACAGACCCATCATCACTTTTGGAGAACATTGTGCAAATGAAGCTGCTGTCATGAAATATAAGCAATTCCATAAAACCATACCAATATACTCATAAGCTGATTACATATATTGTTAAAATGAAATAAATGCCCTTCTTTGAATCATGCCAAGGGAATGAAAGCACATTTCCTTGTAAAAGGCAGGAAAATCCATTTATGTCATCTGCTATACAACATAATGTAGATTATGTCTATGCTCACATAATTCATGAGGATAAAATCAAAAATCAGCACTAATTTGGGCACGCTTTTATAGGATGTCTTCTTTCAGTTCCAACTTCATCCCATCAACAGACCCATCATCACTTTTGGAGAACATTGTGCAAATGAAGCTGCTGTCATGAAATATAAGCAATTCCATAAAACCATACAATATACTCATAAGCTGATTACATATATTGTTAAAATGAAATAAATGCCCTTCTTTGAATCAAGCCAAGGGAATGAAAGCACATTTCCTCTGAGATTGTGATTCAGTAAATTGTACTTCTTGGGAGCAGCTACATGAGAGCGCTCCAAAAACTGCGCTCATGCAGTACGCAAGTTACAGAAGGCCAAAAACTGTCAAGGGAAAAGTTTGTGCTGACCTCTTAACATCAAGCAGCATGGTTCAGATTCTGGATGTGAAACTAAAAAACGCAACAAGAAAGGGGAGAAAAGGAAAAGTCCTTCTTGAGAGTTGTTTGACTGTTTGCCATGGCCTAGTTACTTACTTCCCATTACTCCCTCAATTATCTCACAGCTCCATCAGCGTTCAAAGGCCGACCAACAGGGCGGCAGCCACAAAATGAGCAGCACCAGAACCACACTGTGAAATTTTTCATTTGGCACACAGATGAGGGAAGCTGTTATGGGTAATGTTGTTATGATGCAGACTTATCAGAGCACAAACATATTATCTTAGCCTACTAGATAACATATGGGCACCAGGGATAAACTGAAGCATATCATTTTTAATAACCAATCAGAAAAATATAAGAACTATGATATACAGCTGCCCCGAAATGTATTTGGACACTTAAAGCACATTTATATGCTTGAATTAACAAAACAGAAAGTCATAAATTGCATTGTTGTGACTGATAAGACATCTCTCAGAATAACAAATGATGATAGATTTAGCCAGTTACATTTTACACTGCAATAGATTTTATTTGTGGCTTTTGAATAAAAGTTATTTCTAATTTGTTGGAGTGCATTTTGACTTGTTAGAAGATACAATAGAAGTATAATTATAATTAAATTACACTAAAAAACAAACAAACAAAAAAACACCAAATTAAAAGTAATTGTAAAAATGTGCAAATTTTGGGAAGAATAAAATAGCTGATGACTATATTTGTTAGTGCTCCATTCATTATTTGTTGGAATGTGGAGAATCTTCAGTGGACCCCCCCAAAAAAAGTCTTTTAAAACTATTCAAACAGAGAAGACTATAACTGTGATGGCAGTGATCTTGTAAAATTAGACAATGAATCTTATAGAGAGAGACCAATTAAAGTCCTAATTACCACATTTATGGCACATGGGAAAATGTCTGGGATTACATTATTGATCAATGTGTTCAACAATAATATTAGTCACTAAGACAGCGTGACTAATGGGGGGGAAGTAAAGTACGTGTTCCATGTTTGCCCTTGACCAATGAGCTTCAAGTTTCTCATATAAATGTTGCAGGCCTCCCAAAAGGCATACAATGTCTAAAACAAACAAAGAAGAGGTCTTCTACCTAATAGCTCAAAACTGCTCTGAATCTTTCTTGCCTTATAAGGGTGATACCCAAACATATGCATATGCAGATTTATTTGAAAATCAGCTTTCCAGAATCAGATAATCCAGATTACATGTAATCAGTTACTACCCAGCACTGTACATTCTCCTAATCAGGCAGAAGCGATTTATGTCACTGTCAAAACTAAATATATCAAATGCTGTTTAGATTCCCAGAGATAGTGGGATATTAATGGAATATTGCCCTCATGCTTTTCCATGATTCACCCATGATGCCATGATTAAAGTCAAAGGAATTTCCCACCGACTGCCAGCTGGGTCAAAACGGCCATGGCATGACCATACAGTTTCTACTTCATCCCCATAGTTGAAAAGTTCCACAGCGACAAGCTGCGTGAAATGTCACGTGAAATGGAAAGCATCTGTCATGTCTGCTGAACATTAACAGATCGTTGGAATACAACTAGATTTGAGGAATAGAAAATAAGTGAGGGGTGTTTGCCTGTGTTGAGGTTTTGGGTGTGTTGCTATGCAGCAGCTAGGGTGTTGGTTGTTTATGATATTGTGGTCCCTATTTGGTCATTACAAATGTTTGTGATTTTTTTTTTACTCACCAAATGAAATCTGACCTACTACAAGAAAAGCAACATCACATTCACCTCAAGTTTATTGGCACTTTTACTTTATTTATCGTCATATTTCTTTTTTTTAACAACTGTTTAGTGAAAGGATGTGATTAGCACACAGTCCCTGTCAGGATTATTAAATTTACTGTCATTGCAAGAAAAAAAGTTGTAGGATTGTCTTAAAATGATAATATGTGTTAGTAACATATATTATACATGACAACTTTCAGAATAGTTTTAGCATGGTAATGGATATGACAATGGGAATGTATCTGGTCTCGGTGGACTTGATCTGCTTCACATGCTGCTGCTGCATCAAAAGGCATACATAATTCCCATAGCAGATCTAGACAGGTGGTTCTGGGGGAGGTGGAGGGTTACAGAGGAAAACCATTTATTCTGATTGGCTGCAGAATCAGCAGAGGCTAACCAGCTTGTGCCATGAAGTAAATGATGTGATTGTTCGCAGATTGCATGTAAAGTACTAGAGTTTTATGACTGAACTAGATATTTAGCCTAAAGATGTGTTACGCATGCATGTTGTTCTGCATGTGAACACAGAACCCTGCAATTATCCTGCAACTTAAACACACAATTATGGGGTGTATTGTACTATAATGTGGATGCATAAACAGTGCTGTAGTAATTGAAAATTTGATTTGATAATCATCTTCTATGACATAATCTACTGAATGACTAAACATTTCCTATCTGGGCTTTGAAAGTACTGTAATTACGCACTAACATGATGTACTCTGCTTTTATTTTATGAGTTAGAATGAAAAAAGCAGTAGGTGAAACGATCAAAGTTAACTGCTTTCCTTTGAAACAGATGAAAGAGATGAGGAAGTGCACAGAGGTATAGACCGTTTGTGGCAAATGCTTTTAAAAGGTTTTTTTTTTTTTTTTTTCAGTTTAGGCTTAAGATGGAGGAAAACAGCCCACATAAAACAATCAGCTCTAATTGAGTGAACATGTATTCGAGGAAACACCATGAAAACAGGAGAGCCCTTGAGGGGCTTCACAGCTGCTAGAACAAGCCAACAAACTCAGGATGTTGCTAGAGTTTCTGATGAAAACTGTATGAATAAATGTTAATTGTGAAGGAGATGTGGAATAATTCCCAGGAACAGACAGCTTTTTATTGGGCTTTCCTAAAAACTCTTGCTTTGTTATAGTTGCTTTGTTTTCCTAAAAACTCCTGTTGCTTTGTTATAGGCTGGTTATAAAAAGATAGAACTTTTCAATGACTTATGGCTCTTAACCATTCCTTGAATAAAAGAAAGGTTGAAATTCTAGAAGCTGGAACTTTTATGTTGGGAAAAAAATGTCAAAAGAGGTGTAAAATGGAATTATGGTTAAGAAACACCCATGGTGGATTGCATGTAACGTTTCACCCTAAATGGTTAAAAATATGGCTTGAAAACATTTGCTCCTGTGGTGAACAACAGCATCAAAGAGTTCAGATTTCATGGAAAAATACTGAAATGAAAGATTCTGCATTTAACAGTGTCTATAAGGCAAGTATAATAGAAACTGAGGGTTATATAATCCAGCATTCCAGACTCTTTTCATTTATTCAGATCTCCTCAATTTTCCTTTGATCGAAAAGTCTTGATATCCACTGAAATAGATGAGCAGTTCAGAAGTATGTTTGAGGAGAACCTTCTCCTCCTATCAGATATCAAATAATGACCGTTTGCCTTTAATGTGTCAAATAAATCTCAGAGCACAAATTGTGATTTCTTACAATGATTACTTGTACAATTCCAATGTAGCAGAACAAAACATCTTAATGGACATCTTTGGCATGCACAAGAACGTCTGATCTCCTCCATACTTTTGTTTTCTTTGGAAATACAAGCTCCACCGCTGTATAGAGGTCACCTGAAGTGCTTTATTACACTGTAAAAAGTGGTAACCTGCAACTGTTACCTTGAAGAGCTATTTGTACCTGATTTAACCCATAATGGCAGTATAAATTAGAGTATTTAGGTAAACACCAGTTTGTTATCTTGTTTATGTTAAAAGCTAGACTTTAAGCTGTTAGCGTGCATTTCTTAGAATTTAATTCCATTTCAAGTCACAATTCTGTATCACGTTTTTAGAAACTGAGTGTAATTTTAAATGCAGTTTATTAATAAGAGAACCGATGACAACAGCAATTAAACATTTTCAGTAGTTTTATTGAAAAATGCCTCTTCTGATTCAGAAATAAATAAAAACATAAGGCTGTGGAATTCACAATGTGCAATTCAGACATGAAAAAAATTATTTTATGTCCATTGACTTGCAACAAATTCCAACTGCATTTCAACTGATATCACTGGAAAAACAACTATATTCTGATTGTAAACGTCCTTACTAAATATACAACACAGGCATGCAATTCATCTTTTGGTGTGAGTTGGTATACAACAGATAAATATTCAGTTTAGGATAACAAAACAAAAGCCAGGTCTAAAAATGAAGAGAAGTTGAACCGTTTGCCATTTTCCTTGAGAGAGAAAGAACAACACATTGCACTGCAACGAGCACGTTTACACTTCGCAAACTTTCAAATGTGCAGGGAATCAGTTCGTAGTGTTTATAGGACATAGTGCTAAACATGAGTTTCTTACAAATACAAAATGCAGTTATGTTACAAGCAAAGACACATTGTGGAACCATCGGCAAGCACACAGGTTTCTTACAAGCCTCTCCACTTGACTTTGTTAAATGTGCATATGAACGAGGCTTGATCTGGACTTAAATGCAGTTTTTGACAGTACACAAGATACACTTTCACTCTATGTTTCTATACTTTTAGCTTCCTTTCTTGATAGCGATCTTTTTCCACGCTGGTTTCGTAAACCTGGTGACTGTGTCTCGATATCTTCCGACGGCTGGGCTGGTATGGGCACTACGTAGGTGTCAGGTTCTGGCTGGTAGGGGCCTGCTTGGAAATATTATTTGGCCAGCTGAGCATGTGTTTTTGGGTTCCAACATGTCATTTCAACTCTTCATTCATACATAGTGTTAATAAAAAAAAAATAAAGTAATACTATACTAACCCGAAAACGAACCCCCCCTCCCCCAAACGATCACTAATTTAACGTACGTGAATAAAAAGAATGCATTTGTGAAAACTTGCTGTGAGGTATCATACAATTATATAAATCACAATATCAAACAATGAAAGTAGCACTCTGCAAACATACCGAAATCTTCACGGTTGCATATGAAGAGTTAATTTGCAAAAAACGATAAACGCCACTTAAAAAAAAAATGCCGTGCATTATTCTACACATATAGCGCGATCTGAACCCTAAACACGTTTTGTCAAAAAAGCCGGTTTTGTCCACTTTCAAGGCATCGCGATTTCACGTTTTACTGCAGAAGCCGACAAGCGCCCTTGTTGTTTTTGAACAGAAGCCGATAAGTCCATTTTAGCGAATCAGCGCGCTGTATTCAGGTCAGGTGACAAGGCTACTTTCACTTTGAAAAAACTGCTAGCTGAGCGGAGTTTCGTCAAAGCTGACTAAAATTGATCAAGGATGGATCATTTTGACGAACTTGATACCCAACTGCAGTTTGATTGATATTACTTGGAATTGCGCAATAAAAAAACGTGATTTATGAAAAATAAATAAAAATGGAGTTATCGGTTTTTGCAAATGAACTCTTGATATGCTAATGGCACACACTGCATTTTTAACCTGAGCGTTGCCTACATGTATCATCAATGATGAAAACCACAAATTAAAATGAAACATCAGCAAGAAGCAAGTTATCAGGCGCAAGCTTGATGACTGCTGTTAACCTGTTAACTTTAGCCCACTGCGTCATCGATTAACATTTACAAGGCAAAATGAGTCTATTTACAGTCATCTCGCCCTCATAAAGAGCTACCACTGTTGAACACTGTTAACATAAACGCTCATTGTTAGTAGTTTCACATGCGTTCTCAGCAAAACGAAGCTCTTTCTTGCTGCAAACGGGCCACGGGTATATAACCATCACTGGCTCCAGTCTGATATATAGCGCTCAGCTGGTGTTAGTGGCAGTCCAGTCCTTTCTTTGGTTTGGTTGGGGTTTTTTTTGGTTTTTTTAAGAGTTGGCAATCATTCAGCAATCATATCCATGGTGGTTATCCTTATTAGCTCAGAGCGAGTGCTAATCTCGCTGACACAGGATGTGTAAGGGATCAGGCAGTCTAGATAGCAAACTACGCAAAACCTGAAATGGGTTAAAGATTGTGTTAGTTCATCTCAGTGGCAAAACCGCTACCTTCAAGTGTAAAACAAAAGTATGAACATGCAGTTCTTCATCGATTAGCTATAATGTTAAGCAAAGACACAGCAATCATATGATCAGCCGCTTACTCTCGAGCTCTGTTCCGAACCCCGCTGAGCTGCCTAGCTAGACGGCATTATGCTGCCTTCTAAAATACCTCGATTTGTCAAAATCTCACCTCAACACATTTAATTAATAGATATGCTCTTCTTCATTTTGTTAATTTATCTGAATATCAACATTTCAGTCAAAACAGTTTTTAGGTTAACTGATCTAATTATGTGTCTCTATAATCTGTGATATTGTATTATGTTGAATATCAAAGGTTGTTTTGTTTTGGACACACTAAAGTTTTTAGGTATGTGTAGCAAGATAATACATTTCCTTTCAATTCTATCAATGAGAAGTTAGCTTTCAAATTCGGTCAATCTTATAATGAAATTCATTCAATAAATGTCAAATGCTCTTATATTACATTATATGTGTACTTGTCATCTTAATTATTTAATGTTTGTTTGTATAAATCTTTCATGAAGACAAGTTTTTATTAGAGCCACCATTTATCTATAATATTTCAACACAAGGAATTGGAGTAGAAACAAAAAGTTGATATACAAACTGCTTTACATGCAATTAAAATATGTATATACAACTCAGTTTATATTTAAGTGTCGATTATACATAAAGTTGATTAATTGAATATTAAATAAACAATTTTGGTTTTGGTGTTTCAGTAAAAATCTAATTTTCGGTGCATAATTAATTAAAACGTGTAATTATTATTATTATTAGTGTTACTATTAAGTAGGGATGCAACGATATATTGGTCAGTAATCCGTATCAGCCAATAAAAGAGTGTGATTTTTATATCTGAAAATAAATACCAACTGAATATAATAGTTTGGGCTTAATATTAATATTTTTGTAATGTACCAAATGAGAGGGTTCCCTCTATAGTTTACAGCATTATTTGTGAGACATTTTTTTCCTTAAGAAATCCAAACTATTGGTATCGGTATCGGAAGAAGTCATTCTGAATGATCTGCGGAATCGGTATCGGTTGAGAAATTTAGTATTGTGCATCCCTACTATTAAGACATAAATTATATTGATATGCCTGTATATAAGTCATAGAAGATATTAAGCAAATGTTTCTATTTATTTCCCTATTCATTTTATTGGCACTTATTTCCAAACTGGCTGATGCACCTGCACTTACAGTATATGTAAATATGTTACAATTTAAAAATAATTACACATTGTTTGTCTTCTCCTAACTTACCCTATATTTCTATATAGTATAAAGTGAAAAGCAATGTTTAAAAAAAAGTTTGGTAATGTTCACTGTATTACCTGATATGTGTGTGTGCGTTGTGTTGTAATTCTTATTAGAGTGTCACCATGTTAGCTTAGCAAAATGTTAATGTCAAATTCCATTGGAATCAATGCTATCAACCTGATTTTTCCAGTAAGAGCAGGTGCAGGCATTTGTAAAATTGATGGGTCTGGCTTCTGGTGTCAATCGCTTCCAGTTATTTTTAGCTGTACAAAACAGCTCGTTTTGCTGCTTAATGTTGCAAACACACTGGTTTGTAGTGCAAACAGTTTTACCGTTTACTGCACTTTGTTATTATTCTTGTTATTTCCCTACAACGGCTAATGAACCGGCATTCTCGCACATTCAGAGAAAACGGCTTCCACATTGAAAAATAAGGTGGGATTAATTATTCATATTTCCCCATGAGCTGATTCGCTACAATTTGTTGTTTTCAAATTATTTGAGGCTTCTGTTTCATTTAGAATGTTGCCTTAGAAGCTCAACACACCTCAATGAGACAGCTCACAAGGTTTTGGGACAGAGCTCAAGACTAGTTTTCAGTCAACCGTACTGTGCTTACCTGGGTAACCCTGTCCATTGTAAGGGATGCCTACACACTGAGAGGAGTCACAGTATCCTGGAGGTCCAGGTGGTCCTCTGACTCCGGGTCCACCCTGCCGCCCTGGTGGGCCACGGGGCCCCGCTGTGCCTGTGGGGCCAGGGGGTCCTATCTGAGACTGCCCTGGTGGCCCTGGAAAAAAGCAGACAGAGGAGGTGTAAGAAAGCGTCCTTTACTTCGCATCTAGGTTTTCACTGGATGTGGATGGGGAAAAGTGATTTCGAGCACTGTAATTTAAATATTTTGATTTCTTAATTAAAAGGAAGAAGGGGTAAATCTGCCCCCCCCCCAACCTTTTTCTGTCTAGACGGTATAAACCAAACTGGAATGCTGTTCCTCGACTCTCGCTATCATGCACTCTGAAGTCAGCACATGTGTTGCCAATAAAGTCAAACTACAAACAGTGAGTCACTGCAAGCTTCCTCCTACTGTACATATACAATGGCTGTGTATTTCATTCACAGAGACGTCTTGGCATTGTTTGCACGAGGAAGATGTTTCCATTTCTTAATAGTTTTCTAGCTCCTGGAAATGTGTGGTTTTACATTAGCAGACTGGATAGTAATTAAATGCGTCCCCTGGAGAAAGTGCAGAATTGTGTTTGTTGTAGTTACCATGGAGCGAATAATTCATTCAGAGCCTTTGTTTTGCGCTGGGATGAGTGTATCAGGAGTGACTGCGTTCAGAATGCTAAGCATGTCTGTACAAATTCTCTCCAATAATAACTGGATTACTTCGGCCGTATGATCATGGCTCAGCATGGAATCTACCACTTTGGCCAGCTTTGCTTCTTATGATAATGGAAGTGCCTTGTTGACTGAAAACAGAATTGTTTCCAGGTTTTTGTATCAGGAGGCCTGGGTGCAGATTATTACTGTTATAACATGTGTGACATCTTCTGCATTGGCCCCTAACAGGCAATGGGATTAAAAGACAATTAATATTTATGAATATTCAGAAATATAATCAATTTGAGTGCTCTGCCGGATGAGAACAAAGCTTGAACTGAACTGAGCTAAATAATAACACTATTGTCTTCTGTTCTAATTGAATAAACTACCCACGGATGTCTGGAGTCAATTCATGAGATCATTTCAGATTTTAACTGAACAGTAAGATCATTTGGATGGTTGATTCAGGTATAGCCAGCAGGAATTAAGTGTGCTGACTGCCCTGACAGTGGCTCTGCTGCTTATATTTGTGGGGAATACGGTTTTTCGTCCACGTCGACTGAAGAACGCAGATGTTCCACTGGTAATGGAACCGAATTCTTTCATGAACATTCTTTAGAATAAAATTCTTCTTAACTTCTATTTTCTTCTAAATTTTTTTACTTAAGGGGTGAAAAATGTTTGGATTATTTTGTATTCCAAAAAGATTCTTAAGAATATATGTATTTTGTATTTATATTTTTTCTTAAGATTAAGAGAAAACTTCTTAAAACAAAAAAAGTTCTTGTATGCTAGGAATCACTTCTGGTTCCTTTCTGATGATACTCAGCGCTATATTCATGGCCCGACGAAACACCACTACCAATTCACCTTATCAGTTCACAAAACTAACGGAATGCATAGATGATATAAAAAAAAAAAAAAACTGGATGACTAGTAATTTCCTACTTCTAAATTCTAAAAAAACAGAGGTTTTAATTATTGGACCAAAAACCTCTTTAAAATCTTGCTAATTACTTATAAAGCCCTGAATGGTTTAGCTCCTCAGTACTTGAGCGAGCTCATATCGCATTATTGTCCTTAACGTCTGTTGCGATCTCAAAACTCTGGCCATTTGATAGTACCTAGAATATCAAAATCAACTGCGGGAGGCAGATCCTTTTCTTATTTAGCGCCCAAACTCTGGAATAACCTACCTAACATTGTTCAGGAGGCAGACACATTAAAGACCCATCTCTTTAACCTGGCATACACATAATACACTGTCGCATTTCTATAATTCAAATCCGTTAAAGGATTGTTAGGCTGCATTAATTAGGTCAACCGTAACCGGGAACATTTCCCATAACACCCGATGTACTTGCTACATTGTAAGAAGAATGGCATCTACTCTAATATTAGTCTCTTTCATTCTTAAGGCCCATTCACACCAAGAACGATAACTATAAACTTTAAATTCTCAAGCTTGTGATAGCAGGATTGATTCTGATTGGGTGTCAATGTTTTTATTGTTCATCAGCTAGAAAAACGCATTCTGAAAGTGATTCCAATGATATGGTTTCTCTGTGCCTTTATCGTTATAGCTGTGGTGGGGACGCTGCTATCCTTTAATATTGAGAACGGTTTTTAGAACTACATTTTTATCATTATCATTATAGTTATCGTATTTGGTGTGAACAGGCCTTTATTCCGAGGTCACTGTAGCCATACGGATCCAGTCTGTATCCAGACCAGATGGTGGATCAGCGCCTAGAGATGACCTCTACAGCCCTGAATGTCAGCGGAGACCATGACCTCAGAATAAGAATGAAACAGACTAATATTAGCGTAGATGCCATTCTTCTTATGATGTAGCGAGTACATCGGGTGTTATGGGAAGTGTTCCCGGTTCCAGTCTGTCACTGATGGAGTTTTGGTTCCTTACCACTGTCGACTTTTGCTTGCTTAGTTGGGGACGCTTGAATTCTGGCACTGCTGTCGACTTGATTGCACAGACACTATTGGAAGAGAGCTGAACTGAGCTGGATGATGATATCACTGAATCAATGATGAACTGACTTTAACTGATAAACTGACTGTTTTCTATTGTGCTCTTGCATTATCAGCACATGTTTTTCCTGTTTAACACTGTAAAGTTGCTTTGACACAATCTGTATTGTATAAAGTGCTATATATAAATAAAGGTGAAAATAATTTTCTTAAAGGGGTCATATGATGCGATTTCATATTTTCCTTTGTCTTTGGAGTGTTAAAGCTGTTCGTGCATACAGAAGATCCGTAAAGTCACAAAGATTAAAGTCTCAAACGCAAAGATATATTCTTTATAAAAGTGAACGCTCAGCCACGCCCTCCTAAAACGCCTCGTTCAAACACACCCCCACAAATCTACGTCACTGTGTGGGAAGATTTGCATAATACCGCCCAAATGTATACGCAAAGAAAGAAGGTGTAACTTTTATTCTCACTGTAGTATTGTTGCCGCCGCCGCCATGTCGTGGAGACGCTGTGTGTTTCATTGCGATAGCCAAACTACTTTGTTTGGTCTTCCTAAAGGAGGACACAACTAGAAATCAGTTGTTAAGTTTTATTTACAACACTGTTCTAGAACAGTACAACCCAAATATTCGAGTGTGTGCAGCACATTTTACGGAGGAAAGTTTCCTGAACCTGGTAAGGGGCGTAACATTTCCGTCACATGCTTGAGGTATTCAGCCAATCACAACGCACTGGATAGCTGGCCAATCAGCGCACACTGCGCTATTCAGAAAGATGAGCTTTGTAAAAATTGATGCGTTTCAGAAAGGCGGGGCATAGAGGAGCAACAATAATGTACAGTATGTGGAAAATAATGTGTTTTTTGAACCTTAAACCGCGTAAACACATTGCATTAAACCAAATACACAAAATAATGTTCTTATTAGCAACATCATGACCCCTTTAAAAATCATCATAAATAACTTGATGTCTTTTATATTAATTTTATATTAATTGTTGTAATTAAGCATTACAACGTAATGCAAGCTGCATATAATACATATTACTACTACTAGGGTTTTGTACAAGTACTCTAAAGTGACGCCAATGATTGAAAATGTAAACAATGATCAGTCATGAATATACGAGACGTGACTATTTGCTGAATTCAGAATTCAGTAACAACTACAAAATTAGTGAAATGGGGACCTTGTATTTTAATTTAATTAATTACATTTTCTAATAACAATTTTCAGCACTCTAATACTGTAGTGTGCACACAAAAAGATTATTAATAATTAAAGACTATTATAAATGAATACTATTTAAAATACCTGGAACCTTAAAAAAATAAAACACGAGTGCTGAACTCCCATCAAACCAGTCAAAATGAAAATATTGAGGGCGCTTATGATTATAAAGGTAATCTACAGGAAGTTCAAAAAGACAGCCTTTGAGCTGTTTATCATTGAGTTGATCAGTGAGTCTCTGGCAAGAACCGCCACACAATCAGATATTGCTGAAAATTGTCTTTTTTTTCTAAGAATAAAAATTAAGATGTTCTTAAGAAAATATCTGAGAACTTCTACGGATTGTTTTTGAGAATTGCACTTTTTATGCAAACTTACAATCTTATGAAATTTTGGTAACACTTTAATTTAGGGACCAATTCTCACTATTAACAAGTTGCTTATTGGCATGCATATTACTAGCATATTGGCTGTTTATTAGTATTTATAAAGCACATATTAATGCCCTTTTTCTGCATGACCATATTTTAGATCATTCAACCCTACCCTGTACCTAAACTTAACAACTATATTTCTATTAAGCAGCAGCAAATTTGGAGTTTATTGATTAATAGTTAGTTAATAGTGAGAACTGAACCCCAAACTAAAGTGTGACTGGAATTTCTTAACTTCAGATTTTCATGAATCCAGCCCATGGATCTCAATTCTCTGGAATTCTTTGGAAAGGCTAAAAGCATACATAAACAGCACAACACAGGAAAACACCCTGAATATTTTTATATCTGAAAAATTATTTGTCTGAATATTGCTACAGGCCTATTGAGGCAAACACTTCTACTGACTTATTTTTCAAATTCTGAAGGCTCTCTTAATCCCAACTGTCACAACACGGTTTGATGAGGGGTTAGCACACGTTTGAGTCAACCTATCCAAACAATCCAGGGGAAAAAGCTGTTCCTGATCATTTGGAAAAACTAATGGCAGCAGTTGTGTAACAGGCCATTCATGTTTTAATGATTCATCAATTTGCGCTAATGGTCATCTATCATGCCTAAACAGTCCCAGAATGAGAAACATTGTGATATGGAATAACAACATAGAAATCACAGTTGTTAAATACACGTTAACGATAATTAGAATTGGTTCCATTAATCAGGAGGTTTTGGATAGACTGTGTCTGAAAGCCTTGGAAAGGCAAGTGTGTGTACAAACTCTGTCTATAATTAGCAGTGAAATAGACTGGTTAAGCTGAGGTGGCGTTAGGTTGCACGAAGACATACCCGGAGGTCCAGGTAATCCTCTCTGTCCTCGAGTGCCAATGCCTGGACTTCCTCTTTCACCCTTCTCTCCAGGCAATCCTAGGATGTTATGGGTAAATGCATTAAAAAAATGCAAACCATATGTGACTGATTGGCAGTAACATCAAACAGGGAGTATATACATGAGGATGATTTTAGGGGGAAATTAATTCTATTACAATCATGTGCATCAAACATTTGTTTCAGTTTTTGAGGCATGATTTATTTATTTATTTATTTATTTATTTTTATTAAACCTATAAATACACAAATACTTTCAAGGTGGTTGCTTACTGGCCCAAGCCAAAAGAGCCCACCCTCAAATCTATATGACTATGACAGATAAAGATGCCTTATTTTGCCGTCTTTAACAAGATTTCATCCCATGTGAGGTAAATGTATACCTCTTTCTCCTGGAGGCCCAGGCAAACCTGGATTTCCTGGGAACCCGTTGGGTCCGGGCTGACCTGGCTCTCCATGGGGTCCCTGGTTGCCAGGTGGGCCTGGAGGTCCAGAAGGTCCAGGACTATTACTCCTGTAGTTACTGGGGATCTGGTTCAACATCATATCGATTCTGCTCATTTGTCCTACAAGAAAATGAAACGTTTTCTGTTGTAACATAAACAAAACTTGATGCAGCGGTGGCTGGAATATTTTGTTATTTTTTGTTATTATTTTGAAGTGCCTTACTGCTGACTAATTGTTCACAGACTTGTCTTGCTACAGAGCGCATCATATTCTGTGACGCAGTGTCTCCCTGGAAAACAGAAAACAGAAAAATCTAGATTGTTCTTGCTCAAGCAAAAGCATTTTTGCCGGCAATGTTCTGGGTTGTTACTAAGCCATTGCTAGGTGGTTGCTAGGATTTTATTAGGAGTTGCAAGTGTGTTCTTCATGGTTACTAGGGCATTGCAGGGTGGTTGCTAAGGTATTGTAAGCATTTGCTAGGGTGTTCTGGGTGTACAATGAATGATTTAAAATGCAAATTGTATGAAAGTGACACATACCCTTTCACCCTTCTCTCCTTTCATGCCAACAGGTCCCTGGGATTGACAGATGAGAAAAGATGAGTTAGAAATCACTCAGATCACTATCACCTATAGCAAGTGACCATAGGTTTGGTTAGGTTGAATGGCACACTATCGAAATTTGTACATGCATTCATTTATATAAATGTCTTTAGAACAAGTCCTATGATATTTAGAATGAGCCAAATGTACATACCGGGAAGCCAGTGTCTCCAGGTTTTCCTGGTTTTCCTGTAATTCCTGGCATTCCAGGTGAGCCTGGTGGTCCCTGAAAATATTCATCTCATTAAGCATTACTCATATAGATTATAATTACCATTCAGTTAATGACAAACTTTTTTATGTCAACTTTTACTTTAAGTAACGTTTTTTTAAGGGTTTTAGTTTTAGTTTTAGTTTTAGTTAACAATAATTAAATCAAGACAACTCTCTGAAGATTTTAGCATGGTGACGGATATGACAATGTTAATGTATTTGGTCTTGGCAGAACAGATCTGCTACACTGCTGCTGAATTGCTGCTGCTGTTGGTTATTGCTGTAGTTGTGTGCTGCTGCTGCAAGCAAATACAGGAACTTGCTACTGCCAATGCATATGGCGATACGGTGCCATGAGTATTTAAGACATACTGCTGCTGCACAAATAACATATAAAATAACCCATAGCAGATCTACACAGGTGGAGCCGGGGAAGGTGGAGGGTTTCAGAGAAACTATTGAAAGCACGCTGCAGGAATCTCTAGTGAATGCTAGCCAGCCATATAAATGCAAGGCAGTAAGCCTTGCTACTGCCAATGCATACGGCGATACGGTGCCATGAGTATTTAAGACATACTGCTGCTGCACAAATAACATATAAAATAACCCATAGCAGATCTACACAGGTGGAGCCGGGGAAGGTGGAGGGTTTCAGAGAAACTATTGAAAGCACGCTGCAGGAATCTCTAGTGAATGCTAGAATAATAACTCTTAAAATGTCAATTCCAGTGGCTCCAAAAATGCTTACACTTAATTTTAAGGTGATGCTGTTATAGTATAATTACACAAATGAGTACTGAATAATATTAAGTACTTACGATACGGTTAATGTTTGGGTTTGGTTGCTTGTATGCATGCACAATTTACTGTTATTACTACAGTAAGTACTAGTAATGTGTGCAACTACGCCTCTTTAAAATAAAGTGTTACCTCAAAAAGTAGTTAGACATTCAAGCCATAATAAAAAAGTGTAAATGTCTTTGCATTATATTACAAAATTATATTATTAATTTGTGTGTGTGTGTGTTTGTGTATGTGTATATATATATATATGTATATATGTAATCCAATATAATTCATTAAGTCCTTGTAAGTCACTGTATTTGTGAAAGAAATGTGGACTGTATTAAGGAAGAACAGAAAATTTGATGCACGTGCTGTATTGCAGAATTTTTTAGCTGACATGACAGTCTCACACTCATCAGATATTCAAAAGCTTGCACATTACATACCATTGGTCCCGATGGACCTCTTGGTCCAGACGGGCCTTCATTTCCTGGTGGACCCTGAACAAAAACATATGCCATCACGCACAACTAATAGCATTAGCAAAGATTCATTCAATCTGGAGAAAGTTTAAAGATGCCCTTGAGATGGGCCTAACACAATCCACTGAATATGTCTGACAAGACAGAAGAGACAAGTCAGATAACAATGCTAAAACTGAAAACATGCACTTTCAAACAGTTCAAGGTGCACTTTAAAAACTTCAATCTTACCCTTGCTCCAGAAGGTCCAACAGGGCCGAGCGGACCTGGAGCGCCAGTCGAGCCCTTGGAAGAAGGAAAAATACTTAATGTCATCCGTCACACCAGTGGTTGTTTCAAAATACAGGTTTTTGAATCAAACAACCATTTAGTTGTTCATGGATCAAAGCTGAGCAATTTCAAATATTGTCAGGATATGACTAAACTCAACCTTTCCATGGAAGAGAAGGAAGGTTTTTCTAAACCATATTAATACATGTACAAATAAACTTCTTGCAAAGTAAAAGTGCCTTCATCCTGTACAGAAATAAGTACAGACATTTGTTTTTCTATTGGTGTATTTCTTTTGGAAGTCAAAAATAAAATGACGTTATGATGAAGGTGTTAGCAATCATTCCGCTCTGTTTTGTTACCCCGCTGTAAATCAGTGTGCTTATGAGGATGTGAGTTGTTTGCTGATTGTTTTTTAAGCATGCATGTAATCATAAAGCCATTTATCTGATAAACACATTAAATCTTCTGATCCCACACTGCACAAACCTTCCAGGATCCACACACAATTTACAATGGAATTTTTCCATGAAAAAAAATTACCAGCTCAAACAAAAAAGCACTAACCCGCTGTCCAGGTAAACCTGGGTCACCGGGGTCTCCCTTAGGTCCAGGCCGCCCCTGAAAATGGAAGAAATGAAGCAAGCTTTCACACTCATTCCTCTGTTACATGACATTGAATGGAATTTACATCTCAGCCGTATGTGGATGAGGGGGCGAGTGAGTGCTGGCTCCGTTAAATAAATGGGTCCGAGTCTTTTAGGCATAAATTACACCAACACTATACAGTACTGTAGCCAGACAGGTTTAAGATTTTAATGTCCCAGGAAAGTGAAATAGAGGGCATTGGTGTCCCATAACTTGTTTAAAAGCAAAAATGAGAGAAATACATAACATAGATAGAACATACATGAAACATATCTAGTTTTAAACATTAAATGCCTGACCCGTCCCCTTTAAATGTGTTAATTTGACATTCAAATCATTCTATAAAAACCCTGGCGTATTTGTAGAACATTGTGCATTTTCAGTTGGCAAAAATCATATAATATTTATTTTGACCTCCTGAGATAGAACAAAAACATTTTCTTAAAGGTAAGCATCTCCTGATTTTCAAATAGTGTTATTTCAGTATTATTTATATACTTACATATCATTTATTAATATTTGCTTGAATTAGCTTTTATTTTTCGACTTTGCCTTCATTTTAGTTTAAATTTAGTTTAGTTTTTGTATATGTATTTGTATACATATATATATTTTTTTTTATATATATATCTTTTCTATATTTAGCTATATTTTTTTCTTCATTTTTTCAAGTTAGTAATTCTAGTACTCAAACTTATTTTATTTCAGTTATTTGCCATGCAGCATTTCTAATTTCCGGTTATTTCATTTTAAGTTTAATCTAGAACTTTTCCATGACATTCTAATTTATTGAGATGCAACTGTATTTTATTTTATTTCAGCTTAATTTCAATTATCTAAAACGATTTTAATAGTTTGAGCTTTAGTTAACAATACCAACACTATTTCAAACCCTGTTTCAGGCTTAAGAAAGGTCTTAATATTTACTCATTTGATTCTATGAGCGGCAATACTAAAATGTTACAGATGGAAATGGACAGAGTTGCATGCTTTACTTACTGGTTCACCAGGAATAGACAATCCATTAGGGCCCTGTGGGCCTGGTGGTCCCATTTGTCCTGGTTGACCCTGCTCCCCACGTGGGCCCATTGAACCCTGCAATAGCAATAAACAGGTTTAAATCCTGTTAAATTTCCCAGTTTCAGCACAGGAAGAAGTGCTGAGAGAAATGGTTTCTTGATGGTATCGATGGAGGAACCTGTTCAACATCTACTTCACTATCTGACCATTTGGCATTCATCAGCAGGTCATTTAGAAACTAGAGATGGAGGAGGAAGATAAGCCTACCGTGGGGCCAGACTCTCCTCTCTCACCTCGTGGGCCTTTTGTACCAGGGCTGCCCTGGAAACACAAAAAACAAAGAAAAGAATTTCAGATTCGTTACATGTGAATTTAGAGTGATGTTTCCAAGTTCACTCATCTGAGGTTTACCCAACAGTCTTCACTTCTGCTTTCTGACCTTAAAGTGTATCCCCTAATGTCCACGAGCAAGTCACTAGTCATCAGCTCACGCTGTGCTGTTAACCATCGCTAAACCCCAGATGTTCAATCCATGCATAATGGTGTGGAGAGAAGAGCCCCCATAATCATATTCCTGTGCTTAATGTAAAGAGCAGGACTGAAATTACAGCACTGGGGCTTTGGGGAAAATATTCCACCTTCCCTGAACCCTGGACCTTTTCGTCCACATCGTGAGAAGCGAGATTTGCAGAGGTAGCACGATGACTTCAGAGACAGAGGAAATGTCATGGGACTCTAATGATCTTACCGGAGGGCCCGCGGGACCTGGAGGACCAACGCTGTCCTGAGCACATGTGCAGGAGTGAGGAAGAGCGGGACATTTGGCTTCATTTCTCTACAGAAATGGAGATACAAATCAAAACTTCTGAAAAAGTTAAAGACTTAACAGTTTAAAAAAAGAGAAAAGACTTGCAATAATAAAGACAGCTGGCATGATATCAATTCGAAGGTAAAACCTGTTAATTAGTTGCCTTACTGTATATGGTGAAAAACTGTAATACTGTAGATCTAATGGGCCATGTAATTAACTTTTACAGTAAAATACTGTTGTTGTTGTTTTTCAGTGAAATAAATGTTTTGAAATTAAATAAATATTTTTATTTTTTTATTATTGGTTATGTACATTAGGGTTTTAGGTTTCATCTTATGTTGTTAAATTAAAGTTTATTGCATTATTTCAGTGTCATGTGTGTTACCGCGATGAGTGTTTTGTATTTGTATCTGGAATTACCTGTGTAATTGTGTATACATACAGTTTTTGCCAGTTTTTGTTTGTTTGTTTTGTATACTGTAAATTTCAGAGATTTTGACAGTGTCAAGTAAGTTTCAGTACAGATAAAAAACAAAATGCTGCACTGGCCACAGGAGGAACACAGTGGTTTACATCTACCTGCCCTTCAGCTACTCTCCATGGCCAAAAGTATGTGCACACTCCCTTCTAATGAACGGGTTTGGCTAAGCCCTTTAATTCCCGTGAAGACAAATGCTAAAAGGAAAACAAAAATCCATGTGTTTCATGGAAGACTGTAAGGTTTGGAAAGGTGTGAGGGTTAGTGTTCCTTGTCATTTCTTTGTGAAATTTACTAGAAATGTATAAAATTATATAATCTTTTGATTTTTTAGTCCAGTTATTTTTTTTCCATATTATCCAGTTCAGCTATTTGTACTATATTTACCATATTATTTACCATATTATCATTAATTTAAAGGTCAATTGGTCAATTGTAGGGGAACCTTACTTTCTGACTTTTGATTAAATACTTTGTAATGTAAGTGTTCATTTAAATTCAGCAATTTTGTGTACATCTTTGTGATTATTAAATTATACTAAATTACACTGTTTTAATTGTATTTTTCATCTATATAAACATAATATCATACACAATACATACTCTGATATGATGTTATGTGTTAATTTACTCGTCACTACCATAATCCGAAACATGTGTTGATGCTTTATGTTATTTGAGGAAGATGAACCTTGAACTGAGAGCCCTTTCAGTGCTTTAGAACAAGACAGTGACATATTGCTAAAAAGGGACTCCCTAAAGATACATTGAGGAAAAGGGCAATCGCCGTGAAAACTGGGAATTGCTCAAAAGCTTGACAGCTGTATTTAGTGTCCCTTCTCTGATTACAAGCATCTTTTGAAGACTGCAAAACTCAATTACATTTTCTTAGCAGGGGTTAAGTGTGCTTTCGCTAAAAGCTTTCAACATACTGGCCAAACAGTAGACGAAACCTCAAGAAAGTCAGAAAACCCACACTGTAAGATGACAATCTGTATACAATCTCTACTTACCATTGCTGGAATATCACAACATTTGTCTCGACTTGTCCAGCCCAAACTGCAGACAATATCAAACATCTGGAGCTGGAACTGAGGGAGAGAAAAAATGGACCACAAACGGATGTTACAGATGGCTTGCATTGAGCGCCCACATGTACCCAACAGTGTGTTGAAAAGCAATACAGACAGAATCGAATCTGTTCAGGCATGAATGGGTGGGAGGACATGCACTTGATTGAGTATGAGGGGACAAAGGGAACGGCAGGGTAGATTCCTTGGATTAATCATTTAGTGCGCGTTTAGATCTTTTGGTGAACTGAAGCGAATGAGCAATTTGTACTTACTGTGGCAGACTGCTTCCTTGAACCACCAGACTTTACCATTTTTCCAAGGACTTCATAGCCATCTGTGGATATGTTGTTGGCCTCTTTGATCTCTTTCTCAGCCACCTCTTGGCAGTCAATGTTGAGTTTGACATTTTTCAGTGAAACAGAAATGTGAAGCTGCGAAAATAAAATGCCATTAGTGCGAATACCTCAGCGGTGCAATCCAAGCATCAGTTCATTATTACTCCATACTCTGGACATATTGGCTTGCTTCTTAAATCTTCATGAAAGGGATTCACAAAACTGCCAGATTGACAAAAATTCGCAAAAACCATCCTTTCCAAAAAACCTTTCCCATGATCCCTGAGATCATTAACCCCACGGCCTGTAAACTATGTTTAGAGTTACGCTCTCAATTCTTCCAATAACAGATTAATTAGTTCATTATGTAAAGACATGCCAGTCGTCGAACACAAAGATGAATCTTCATGTCAGTAGATAATATTAACTGGTTTACCGACTGTAATTTCCCCATTGCATTCACCATGAGACTCTACATGCGGAAGCAACCACCGAAATGCTTTTTCCATCCTTTTTTTTAGAGGGAATACAACATTTTCTTTATGTGGCGTCACCACATGTTGCTATTATGTCATTCTGTGGCTGACTGTCTAATGCGCTCATTCCCCTGACTTGAACAGTTGCTTTTGTCAGTGAAAAAGTCTGACCAGCCCATACATCTGATATTCATACTTTGTAGATCAGCACTCCATAGGCAAGGTCATATTTCTTACCTCAATACCGTCAATATCTATGGCAACCAGCATTTGGCTTCCCACAAGGAGAAGGGGTCTGAAGTTCTGGCTTTAGATGGAAAGCTTTAGAAGCTTAACCAAATAGTGTGTTCAAAAGCTCGTGGGAAGCTGAGAATGCAATAGTTATCAATTCTAAAAATATATGCAGGGAGAACATTTTTGATAAATGGGTAAGTGTCATAACAGACAGGGCCAAAGAACTGAAGTGCTTTCGTCTCGTTCGGTTGTATGGTGTACTGTGCATTCACACTCTCTCGAATCCTCCAGTTCTGGCTACTGTGGCTGTGTGAATATGCCCACCATGTGGTTTCATTTTGCTCTGCTCTAGTCTTGCCCTCTGTCCTGTTAGACTTCCATTATATCTGTCGGCCTCCATTTCATAATTGCACGCTTGGCTGGCCATCTTCCCCCACCATTTCCTCAACTGTATGAATTCAATGAGTAAATTCACATTTTAGACAGGGTGTGGTTTTAAACTGCAACTTTTAAATTTTACTTTCTGTCTCTTGAGAGCTGCCTTGATATCTGATGTCTACATCTAACTGAAATAGATTTGAAATGCTGCAAAATGCAAAGTTGCATGAAACATATGACTATTCTTTACAGTGTGATGCTGCTCTGTGGAAAAAGAAGAAAAAAAATCCAAGATGACAGACAATGATTATATTGTTTATAAATATACTCATAATACATTTAATATTAAAATTAGCCAGTATTTGTGTGTGCTATGCATTTTATGTAGGGCAGTCACTAACAATTATTTTGGTAATAGAGTAATCTGTTGATTATTCTGACTGTTAATCGAATAATCAGACAATTTTTTTGTGGTAATAAAAATAGAACTTAGCGAACAATAGACTTTAAGATTTCAGTTTTTCTTTTTTAATAAATCTGCAAAAATGTCAACGATTCTGTGTTTTTCTGTCAATATGGGGTGCTGTGTGTACATTAATGAGGAAAAAAAATTAACTTAAATGATTTTAGCAAATGGCTGCAATATAACAAAGAGTGAAAAATTGAAGGGGGTCTGAATACTTTCCGTACCCACTGTAAACAGTCTGCAAAGTTGTAAAGCTGAGAGTGCCCACTTCAAATCCCATTTCTGCAAAATTCATACGTCACAAGTAAATACATTTGCATAATACCCATCTACGTTCTACATGAACATCAGAATCAGAAGAATCAGTGGTTAAAATGCATCTTTACTATGATACCACAGCAGTATAATCACAACCTTTTGCTGTGTTCCTATCATTTCACTGACGACTGCTTCTCCAATCTCCACGAGTTTAACGGGGGATTCCTAATTTCATACTTGTTTTCAACTTGAAGCAGTGCTGTGGAGAACAACGATGTTAACTAGATGTTTTCATTACTTGTCTAGTGATGTGTGTTTATGCTGAAATATACTACTGAAACGGTTTGTCTTTTCAAATCTTCTATCACGTGTCATTATATTTATCGAGTTGGCTCATGTGGTTTATGTTTAGCTCTTCAGAAATGTGACATTTTCTGGTAAGGGAGCATAGTGAGCATCGATGCTCCCTAGTTTTTGCGGTGCATTGCGGGATTTTTTCAGGGAGCGAATGTTCCAGTGCACTGGGAGGATTTCGCGATTGAGACACGCCAACTCCCTGATCAGTTCCCTGAATACTGAACTAGGGAACCGATTGAGACGCACCCATAGCCTTTTTACAGTATAGAATATATTTCTTCCTCATTCTGTGATAAGAAGCCACATCAGATTTGACATTACAAGGGAAGATGTTTTTGGCGTGTTGCTTTTTAAAATGCATGTTATAAGCGGGCAATTCACAGGCACGTATTGAACCATGGATGTCGTACCAAATGGTTCAATATTATATTGAGAATTGTGACATCCCTAGCAGTCACATTATCAAAATTCTGCTTTTTTCCCTAAAAGTTTTGTCAATAGTGTAACAATGCATGTGTGCTCACACAAAGGTCACTTTTAAACCAAGCAGCTTTTATGTTGGTCAACAGGGCAAATTTGCGTGACCAACTTGAACACGAGTGAAATCTATGTTAAAGTCAGTCTTGAAACTTTTTTGCCCTCAGGTGAAACTCCAGACTGCACAGATTCCTTTTGAAATGACTGGGTTTTGCTAGCAATTTCTCTGCACAATGGTAAATGTGATCCCACCGTAACTCCGGTCAATGCAGTGATTTTGCGTGACCAACTTGAACACAAGCAGAATCTATGTGGGGAACTTTTTCACCCTCACGTGAATCTCCTGATTATTCAGATACCGTTGAATTTTACAACATCTTAACATTTAATAGTCAATGCTGCAAATTTGCATGACAAACTTAAATGCAAATGAAATCTATGTGGGAAACTTAGATCACTGGTAAATCTGGCCCCACCTTAACACTAAAAAGCAATTATGAGTCTTGTCTCACACAAGCTTCATGTGAACAGTGCTTCCAAACCATTCACATGACATGACTTTCAAATCTAACTCATAAAGCTTTTATTCACAGATTGATTTTAGCTACTAAATTCATAATCTCTAGGATTTTCTAAAAGAAAGGAAATGACATGAATAAAGGGCTAGTGTTCTGTGTAGTATTGCATGGCTCACCACAGAATCCATTTAATAGCTGTTCCCATTCAAGAACTCGAGCTGCGTCGAAACGCTATGGGAACGCCTTCAGGGTAACCGTGCTCTGAATCGTGTGTGTAATCAGTCCAATGGATGGGCGAGACGTCATGGGCGGGGTGATGTAGCGACCAGGAAGCTTAAAAGCACATGCAGTGGAACAGGCATCAGCTTTCTGTCATTCTGTGTGTGTGTCAGTCATACTATCTGTTGTGAGTCTTATTTGGTGTTGTTTGTCCCATTATAAGCTCCATTATGTCTAAAGCCGAGGCAAAGACAAAACACTTGAGGGGCGAGAGCAGATCGCGTTATAGGCTGTGTGTTCCTCCCTGCCCGCGTTACATTACGAGCGGGAATACACACAGAATAATCTGTGCGTGGTCTGCTTGGGAGCGAAGCACACAGAGTCGGGCTCTCGAGGGAGGCTCTCTTCTCCCGGAAGGCTCTCTTTGAGGAGGGAGCCTTCACCAGCGTTCCCCACGGTGTTGGCCCCGCTTCCACTGAGGCGAAGCGGCAGCTGCACTCGTGGGGTTCGCAAATGGATCTGGTGGAGGGAATGGAGATGGGCGAGTCCCTATCTTCTTCCTCACCCGCCAGATCCAGCGCCCACTCACTGGGATCGGAAGTCCGCTCTGCGGTTTCCTCCCCCCGGGGAGCGGGCTCGACGCTCCGCCTGTCTTCCTCCGAGGAGGTTGACGTGGAGAGCATTTTGGGGGCAAAGCGTACCAATATCGGGTTCTTCCCTTCGGCCTTGCACTCTCACCCCACACTTTCACAAAGTGTGTGGATGCTGCTCTGGCTACTTTGCGACTCCAGGGCATCCGCATACTGAACTATATCGACAATTTGTGGATACTAGCTCAATCGGAGCGAGTGGCGATTCGGCATCGAGATGTCGTTCTCGCCCACATGAAAGACTTGGGGTTAAGACTTGTGGGATTACAAATTTAAGAATCTGTTTAAAATATGCTGATCCTATGTTCTGACATAGCATCACATGAAAAACTAAGGTGAAGTACATTGTATTTAGCATTTAAGGTAAATTACATCAGACAAATGATTATCTTAAGCAAAGTGTAGCAAGAGGTTCCTGTCTGTTCCTGTTCTCTTATTGTTAGTCAAATGAACCAGATTACTGAGACTAACACCTTTTGTTTGAAATTGCTCTTGGTGCCTCTGCCCCAATCTTTGAGTAGTTATACTGATTGAATTAGGACTTTCAGACTGATTGGATTAGCACCTATGCATTTGAATGACACTGTTATGCTGATGAGATCAAGGCTGGGAAAATGCCGGTGTCGGGCTGATTGCCTGTACTTCATTTGCATGCTATGGGTTAGATTGTCTCCACCTCTACTGAATGTATCCCGCCCCCTTAAAATGTATATAAACTACAATGTATTACTGCCTTAGTCAGACTTTTGATGACTGCAGCGCCACGCAGCGCGTTCTCAATAAAGAACTCTGCTGAAGATACCCAAGAGTCTCCTGGTCTCTGCTTCGACGAGGAAAAAGTTTCCTACAGACTAAACGCCAAGAAAAGTGTGCTTTCTCCAGTACAGAGAACCACTTATCTGGGCGTGGTGTGGGATTCGACCACGATGCAGGCACGTCTGTCCCCTGCTCGGATTGAGTCGATCCTCACGGCAGTCGCGAGAGTGAGAGAAGGCCGGTCACTTACTGTCAAGCAGTTTCAAAAACTGCTGGGTCTGATGGCAGCTGCGTCCAACATGATACCTTTTGGACTGCTGTACATGAGACCCCTACAGTGGTGGCTCAAGACCAAGGGGTTCCCCCCGAGGGGAAACCTGCTTCGCATGCTCAAGGTCACGCTGCGCTGCCTTCGTGCCTTAGACATGTGGAGGAAACCTTGGTTCTTGTCTCAGGGCCGGGTGCTGGGAGCTCCTTGTTGCCGTGTAACGGTAGTGACGGACGCGTCCCTCACCGGTTGGGGAGCGGTCATGAGTGGCCGCTCAGCCCGAGGTCTGTGGAGCGGTCACCATCTCACAACACATAGCTTCCGGTCTCTCAACCGAGGTTGTTGCGCTGAGGCTGAGGCCTCCCGTACGATCTCGTGTCCCTCCGTGGGACCTGGCTGTGGTGTTAGAAGCTCTCTGTAAGCCTCCCTTCGAGCCTATTGAGGAGATCGCTGATCGCCATCTATCGATTAAGACAACCTTCCTTCTGGCGATATCTTCTCTAAAGAGAGTTGGGGATCTGCAGGCCCTCTCAGTGGCCCCTTCCTTCCTAGACTTTGCGCCCAGTCTGGCCAAAGTGTTTCTCTACCCTCGTGCGGGGTACGTCCCTAAGGTCCCTCCTATACACCACGGCCTGTCGTACTCCAGGCCTTCTGTCCTCCTCCCTTCTGGGAGCCCGACCAGCAGAAGCTTAACTGTATGTGTCCAGTGCGAGCACTGGATGCATACGTCCACAGAGCTGCCCTGTGGAGAAGGGTGGACCAACTGCTAGTGTGCTATGGCCCCCCTAAGAGAGGTCTTCCTGCTAAGAAACAGACCCTCAGCCGGAGGATAGTAGATGCCATTTCCATTGCTTATGAGTCCTCTGATCTCCCCTCGCCTTTGGGGGTCAAGGCTCACTCGACTAGAAGTGTGGCGGCCTCCAAGGCCTTTCTGGCAGGTGTGTCTATGCAGGACATCTGCAACGCTGCAGGTTGGTCCATGCCCCTAATGTTTGTCAGATTCTATGGCCTAGATATGCGAGCCACTCCTGACTCTTCTCTTCTCATACCCAAGCTGTGCTCCTTCCACACTAGGCAGGGATTTCTCAGTCTGGCGGCGTGGGCATACTCGTTCCCATAGCGTTTCAATGCAGCCCGAGTTCCTGAAGGGGAACGTCTCCAGGTTACGCATGTAACCATGGTTCCCTAAGGGAACGAGACGCTGCGTCTCAGTGCCATACTTTCGGCATCCCTGCGAGCGCTTGCTTCATTCCTAGAAGCTGACGCCGGTTCCACCGCACATGATTTTAAGCTTCTTGGTCGCTATGTCACCTCGCCCGTGACGTCTCGCCCATCCATTGGACTGATTACACACATGTTTCAGAGCACGGTCACGCTGAAGGCGTTCCCATAGCGTTTCGACGCAGTGTTTCATTCCCTCAGGGAACCATGGTTACATGCGTAACCTGGACACGTTTTCTTTTCCCTAGGCTCTCTAAGCAGTATTGTTAAACATTATAATGGCACAGTGTACGCACTTTTGTCAACACTCATATCTTAATTACAATAATAATGGCTTGTAGGTTGCTATTAACTATTACAAAAAAATTATCAACTACAAATCCATCAGGCCATGTGTGTTCATCTGAATTGGCAGTGGCAAGATTCTGGCCAATGACATTTAAGCAAAACAAGCAATCAAATACGCTTCATTTCTTTAAGCAATATTATTTTTATTGACTTTCCAGTGATCCTGACAGATTTCAAGGGTTTCACTCAATGAGATTTCCCATGCAGAACTCTCCATCTTGATGCTAGGGTGTTGCTAATGGGGTTGCTAAAGTGTTGCTTACTGACCCAAATCAAAAGAGTCCTCTCCCAAGTCTCTATGATATTCTGGTTTCATGTTCCTCCAAGTCTGTGAGAGTTTTTTGTTCATTTTAATGATTGCCTGATAAGTCAAGTTACTTAGAAAGAAATAAACCACATGATTTTAAGTATTATTAAAGTCTGTAGTGCAAATGGTACATGATGAGGTAAGCAGTGCGTTTTAATATTTATGGTTTGGGATGGTTCAAATTCCTAACCCAAAGTATGAGCCATTGCAATAGTGATGCTTGCCTTAGTAAGCACATACAAAACTGGGAGGGAAGAAAGAGAAAAGTCTTTTTCAACTCTCCAAAGCATGATAGGCTTGTTAAACCCAAAAGGTTTCCTTTTCATGTAACCAGTCTGTAATCTTGTAACCAAGGTGGTCAGCTAATCACCACCTTAGCTCTGTGTTCACGTCTCCAGCAATGCCAGTGGTTGCTGAACATACAGTAGGAAACAGTGGTAAACCAATGCTTTTTCATGAACCCTGGACCACAAATGGGCCCGCAGTCACAATCCAGACTATATGACATCACTTTGTCATTGAAGTCACTGTAATGATGTCAATGGGTGAATCTCAAGAAAACAATCAAAAGAAATACAAAATTTGTATTATTATTATTATTACCAATGATTCAATTATAGTACATTACTATAATACAGTAATGGTATTTTTTTACATTAAAATACAAATATAATTCTGTTCCAAAAAAACAATAATGATGTTTACATGCTTTACAATTTAAATAATACATAATTTTTACTATTACAGTAATGAACATTGGGTGGAAATAGGCTTCAATAGGCTTCATTTTCTTTAAGCATCATAACTATTTTTCTTTGACTTTCCAGTGGTCTTCTTGAGATTCGCCCCGATTGCTCAAGCTGTGCTTTCAAATTTCCCACACAGACTGGGAAAATCTTTCATGTGTGGTTGTAAAATTAGCACATCTTGAAATCTGATTTGCCAGCATGTACTTACTAGACCAAAACCACCAAATCCCAGCCAGTATAAATTACAGTCTCCTGGTTGTCAGGCGTTTTTTTACATTAGCAATTAAACTATGCCAGTGGTCACTTGGGACAAACATGACAAAATGCTGACATGTTTAGCTTTAAAGAGACTCGGCGTATGCACTGGGCTTAGAATAACCTCTGAGAAAGCAAAACCCTTTATATAAAAATAACATCATTAATGTCCTCTTTTACAACATGTTCAATAGCAATAATTTATGTTTCCAGCTCTCATGAACCACATCACCATGAGCAGTGTGGAGCTGCTCTTGCACAAACCTGCACCTAGAATAATGGCTGGTGGGTGTATAGGCGAAAACTCTGCGTACACGATATGGGCCGATAAACATCTCAATTTAAAGCCAAAGGCAAAATCAACAGTGGCAAATCTTTCATTGAGCTCCAAAGAAATAAACGTATTTTGAATTTATCAGCCAATAGTTATTTAATATTTCTAAAAGGATGCTCCAAGTTCAAATCCATCAGCCTATTCATATTCACAAGACAAGATAAGAAGGTCAAGATAAAGGCGATAGAGTTTTAAAGACTAACATCTACCACCTCATCTAAAGGAACCAGTTTAGGTCTTCAAACTATTTTTGCAGTTAACTCTTTATTGCAGTTAACTCATAAAGGTTTTTTATTGGCATTGATGGTTCCATTAAGAACTTTTAACATCCATGGAAGCTTTTCATTGGACGAAAGGTTCTTTATAGTAGAAAAAGTTTCCTTTTACTTTTAAAATGTTCTTTTAAAATAGTTATTTTAAGAACTGTTAACTGAAAGGAACCAAAAGTGGTTCTTCTATGGCAGGGGTAGGCAAGTTCTGTCCTAGAGAGCCGCAGTCCTGCAGAGTTCAGCTCCAACCCTAATCAGACACACCTGAACAAGCTAATCAATGTCTTCAGGATTACTAAGGCTATAGGCAGGTGAGTTTTTTTTTTCAGGGTTG